GCCAGTCATACGACCATGATGACACTGCTGTTGAATGGAATGGTTGGTATCGGCTGTATTTGAATGGAGAAAGTGCTCAGCTGTCTGAGTGGTGTGTGACACTCGCAAGATGTGGTGGTGAAGTTGGACTTTATCTCAATGCTTCTCATCCACAACTTGAGGATGGGGTGGTGACCCGTGAAGTCTTGGGATCTTCAAGTTCGTGGTGGAACTCCAACCAATGTGGCTATTTTAGATCTACCTCCATTCAAGTCAAAGCCTGTCCAGGAGATTATTATGTCTATAAACTTGACAAACCTGATGTGTCAATCCCTAGGCCTACATACTGTGCAGGTACTCGTGTACTGCTTTGTATAAATTACTGTTCATGATTATTCTCTGTGTGAGAAATGTATATTTTGGTATAGTGAATTTCCATTTCATGAATTCTGTATATTCTAAGAAACACAGCAATGAGACTTGAAGTCTTATTTTAATAAGCTGACACTTTTAACATTTAAACAGTGATTTTACAAACAGCCTTTTTTCTCCATCCCAGTTGCATTCAGCAGCATCAGTAATGATCCTTGTTACAACTATGAATCTCTGGATCGTCCCTGGAGAGCTACAGATGAAACTGGATTTTACATTTGTGATGAATCCTTCTCCTGGAATGGCTGGTACAGACTTTTTTACAATGGAGCGAACATCCGAATGCCAGAGAGCTGTGTTAATGCAGGCAGCTGTAACACACAATACAGTCTGTCGCTCGCTGGTCCTCACCCTCAAGTAGAGGATGGAGTGGTGACCATGGAGGTCTGTACAAGAACATGGGCATGGTATTCCAGCTATGATTTGAAGCAAACACCCATCAGAGTTAAAGCTTGCCCAGGCGATTACTATGTTTATGAACTTGTGAATCAACCAGCATATGGGTGTTCAGGGTATTGTACAGGTAATATGTTTTCATATTATTTAATAGCTTCTTTTAACACCTTTATATTTATTTCAGTAATATGTTTAATTTCCTATTTTTAGATGTCAGCACAATATCTCTGGTTTCCACTACAAGTCCAGCTACCAGTCCTGGATTCAGCATGACTTTGAGTACGTTTCTATAGTGAAAACTCAAAATAGTCTTTTACAAGTAGTCATGAAAAGCATGTTCTTCAAAGTGTTAAGTGTGACAATGACATTTGCAGGGGATAGTTGAAAATTTAGGAGTGGATCAGTATCATTTTCTAGATTATAGTTTTTTAGTGTTTTTAGTTTTGTGACCAGATGTTTAGGCCAAAATCTGCCCACTCAAAAACAGGGGTGTTTGACTAATAAATAGAACAATGAAACACAGCTTGCTCTTTCCTAATTTTTTTATTTATTTTATTATGTATGTTTTCTCTCTCTCTGTCTGACTCTCTGCAATCAACATAGATTATGACCCATGCTATAACTACAACATTCTTGACAATTACTGGAGAAGCACACTCTGGTATATGTCTGGATATGATGACACTCGTGTTGAATGGGATGGCTGGTATCGATTTTTCATTAATGGATCGAGTGCTCAGATGCCCGAGTGGTGTTTCAGTTATATGTCATGTGGAGGTTTTAGTTCTCTGTGGCTTGGTGGCCCTCATCCTCAGCCAGAAGATGGAGTTGTTACCCGTGAAATATATGGCTCTGTTAATGATCAGTGCAGTTCCTACACATCCAACCCCATCCAAGTCAAAGCTTGTCCTGGAAATGTCTATGTCTACAGACTTTTAAGGCCAAAACCATCAATCCCACTGCCTGTATATTGTGCAGGTACAGTCATACCATAAATTGTATTGTCACCTTTCATTTAAAACTACACTTATAGATTTGTTGATTTTTAAATGGATTTAAACATCTTAAATGCATTTACTCTTTATATTTTCACTATAGTTTTATTTAACACTCCAAATACTGATCCCTGCTATGACTACACCAGTCTGGACGACCCCTGGAGAGCCACTGACAATTATTACAACAATTACATGTGTGATTATAATGTCAACTGGAACGGCTGGTACAGGCTCTTCT